AACCATTTTCATTGCCCTCTGCTGGACAATCTCCAATTTGCCCACATCCTTTCTGCAGTGGGGGCCCCAAAACTGGACACAAGACTCGAGATATGGCCACACCAGTGCTGAATAGAGGGGACAAATCACTTCCCATCCCCTGCTGGCATCACTCCTACCAGTGCAGCCCAGTATGCAGTTAGCCTTCTTGGCAACAAAGGCACACTGTTGGCTCATCTTATTGTCCACTGTAACCCCCAGGTCCTCTTCAGCAGAGCTGCTGCCCAGCCAGTCGGCCCCCAGCCTGAATGGGGTTGTTCCATCCTAAGGGCAGAACTCTGCACTTGTCCTTGTCGAACCTCATGAGATTTCTTATGGTCCAAGCCTCTTCATCTCTTGAAGTGATTATTATCAGTTACTGGAGTGGCATCTGGTTGGGATTGAGTTGGGGCTTCAACAAAGTGAAGTTACCAAAACCTTCCATCCACTGTGCTGGCGCACACAGGATCAGGCGGGCAAGAGGCAGCAGATTAAGCCCAAGAAAGAATGAGAACGTTGTACACCACAGGAGAAGGGGATGGGGGGCATCCCAGAGGGAAAGGAGGATGAGCTCCCATAGTACAGAGTTTATTAATAGCCATAATCTGTGACAAGAAACAGCACTGAAGAGCATAACAAATTGTGACCTTTCAACACCATAGTTTAAACAAAGAAGAGACACCACCTGACATTGTAAGGTAGACACTGAGGACCTTGGAGATCACTGGGGGAAAAAAACCATTTCCAAGGCGACAAGACCATGGAACAGTATACCTAATAAGGTGATTTATGGCCTAATCAAGAGACCTCCTCTAGAAAAGGTGAAATACAGTAGATGCATTCATCCTTGCTGAGGCTCCACTGACTTCAGTAAGAAATGGCCCAACAGTTTCTGGAAAGAGTTGGTGTAATCCTCTCTTGCTTGAAACAAGGGACAGAGCTAGATGATGCAAGGTTTCCTTGGAGTACTAATATCTATCTAGAATAAATAATGCATGATGTTAATGCCTTGTTCCATAGATTGGATCAAATCAATAGCGTAACATGAATCAGTTCCATAGGTTTTCTATGTTATTTAGGCAGCTGCAGATATAAGAAATATTCCGCTGCAACACTGCCCATCTTGAGATTTATTTAAGAACCTCCTTTTATTCCCAAGGGGAAAAAATCGGTTTTTATCTAACAGCACTCTGTAAAATTTTGGAAACTGCATGCATTTTTGCAACACAAATGCTTGGAGAACTTACAATCACCTTGAGGTTTAATATTTCTTGACTGACTTCAATAACAAGATCTAGAATCCCCACCTGATTCCCAGATGAATAGCGTACTCCCCACTACAGGGCCAATGGAAAATGACAGCTTGTAGGAAACCATTGGTGGGACAGAAGCAGAAAGTGTTGATGCAATGAAATGGGTTGGGTTTTTTTATAATAAGGAGGAAATACAACAGACCAAATAGAAAAAGAACACCTGCATACTGATTCTGAGATGACAAAAAATGCTTAGGCAAAGATTTGCATTGGCTTCAGGAACTCCTGCTGTACTAAATCAAGGCAGAGAATTTACAGCAAATTAATGAAACTAATTTTCTGACTGGAATCATCTTCTGTGAATTAT